GAGCACAATTTTGCCAGTTTGCACTCTGGCAATGAAGGGAAAGAAGGAGAGGGTGAGAGCAGGACTGACATCTTGAAGTCCCCTTCCAGTGGATGGAAGACCAACTGGAGAAGGACAGATTCCACAAGCCCTAGGTTGTTGTTGTTGTTTTGTTTTTTAATAAAAACTGAATGGAAAAATTTAAATACACTAAGCGAAATCTTGCTATACAGTTCAGGTTGGTCTTGAACTCATGACCCTTCTGCCTCAGCCTCTTGAGTAGCTCGCATTCCGTGAATACTCTACTTTGTCTGGCTTAGAATCTTGACTTGACTAGAATTTATATAAGAAAAGCATCCAATCTGGCAGACTCCTTTTCCTCCTCGATATACAATGAGAAAGGAACAAAATACTGAGAGGAAAAGGCTCATTTCAGAAACTTCAGACAGGTTGGAGGGCCAAGTACGAATTCTACCTGAGTCCCATTTGGTTTTGTTTTCTTTTTCTCCAGACAATAGGAACTGTGGTCCAGCCCGACTGACCTGCAGCTATCAGAAAGACTTTTGATTGTATTTGGGGTAAACCATGCTTCTCAAGGCAGGAAACTTGACACATCCTTTTCACCAAGATTTCCAGTATCAAAGATTGTGGGAAAAGGATTTTCTGGTTAGCGCTGAGATAACCTGGAATCTCCCATTCCCTGGGACATTTTGACTAATTGACATTTTCCTGTAGTCTGCATTCTCAGAGACAGTCTCAACCTTGGCAAGGCTTATAGGAAGTGCCACTGACAGTGTTTAAAACTCAAATCCAAATTTCTTCTCTCTGCACTTTCCATCTGTAATGCTGGAATGCATTAAAACAAGCATGCAACATCTCTTTGTAACAAACGGAAACAATTCAACCGTGTGAGGCTTTTAAAAAATCTAAATAAAACAAAAACATTCAATAGGCAGAAAAGAGTTCATTGCCGCAAAAGAAGATAAAATTTTTGATTCAGGTTTGCTACATGTTCCGGATGGAGATGGGAAGCTTTATGATGCTGGATGGGTTTCAAGAGTTGAGGGAGTTTGATTTGAACTCTGCTTGGCCAGGGATGAGCCACATGGAAGGAACCATTCCCCCTCATCTCCCTGCTCCCATCCTGACAGGTTCCCCTCCGGGCTGTTTTGTATGCAGCCCTCTCACTAACTGGCAGCATCAGACTGCAAACCTGGTACTCAAAAGATGGGAGAAGACAAAAAACAAAGCCAAAACTCCGGTCACTTTTAATTAGTCAAGAGAAATCAATGCTTCCGAAGGTTCGCTGCTGAGAGAGGCAGAGCCAGATGGTGGCAGCGTGCTTCGAGTCCATCTGAACATCCGGGCCCCTCACCTTCTCAGGCTTTTTTTTTTTTTAATTTCCACCTTTATAAATAAGGTGTTAGAGATTGCTGCCCCCGGTTCCTACCGGATGTAGCAGTGCTTAGTTTAGAAGTGCAGAAGTGTTAGCAGGTCACTCTCCTAGCCCCAGGATGTCGTGCATTGCACAAATCTCATGCCCAAGTTGGACATCAGTCATTCACATTGTATTTAACAGGTTGCTTGTAGTTAAACTCATTGTAAGCCTGACTGGATTTGAAATTACCTAAGAAACACACCTCTGGGAGTATCTGTGAGGGTGTTTGTAGAGATGTTTAGTTATGGAGAGAAAACCCACCCTGAATGCAGGTGGCATCATCCCGTGCACTGCCATCCTAAACCTGTGAGTAAGAAGGAAACAAGAACCAACGTCATTCATTTCTTTCTGATTCAGGTGCAATATGGCCAGACTGTCCCATGAGCCTGCCACTGCACCTCTCCACCATGACAGACCGCCTCCCCTCACACGGTGAGCCAGGGAATCCTCGTTTTCATCAGGCATTTTGTCAGAACAACGGGAAAAGTAACTACATACCACCCCGTCAAAGCATCTTGTCTCCCCGAATAACAGCAGGATGTCGCCAGATGTTGAGACAGCCAAACGTGGGTGTGCAGCCTTCCTTCATGTCTTCCTAGTCACGTGACTTTACCCAGATCAATGTGCTCACCAAGGCTCTGCTGCCTTGCTGATAAAATGGTTCTATAATGATCACTACCCAGTATGGGGTGAGGCTTCAAGTCAACAACACATGAAAAGCAAACGGTTGGAACTCAATACGCACGAATCCCACCCCCACTCTGCCGAGACACAACACAACGTGCACAGCAGCTTACTGTTACTGCTGAGTGTTTTGTGGAGTGCTGTTCAGGGGAAAGAATTAGAGCGTTGGAAACTGAGCGAGGGGGAGGTTTCAGTTGAGCAGAGGCAACTCTTGTCGCCATGTGGTGAATTTTTGACAGGTGTGACTCTCCTTGGTTTTCATACACGGAGTTCTATAAAATGGAATCTGGAAGTCTTTAACGAGGACTCCAACATTCTGCCAGACCCTTGATCAACTTTGATAAAGGACATTTGTGCCCTCATGTGGCATGTAGGGATCTTTGTGTCGCACGGTGCACAAACTATTCCAAACTCGCTTGTGTGTTTGGCGCTGGGGCTTTCTTCTGGAGACAAAGCTCATTTCTAGTTTTCTATTCGTATTGCTCGATGTTTATTTTCTCAGACATCAGCTTTTTCTTCACATCCTGAATGGCAGAAAACAACCACCGGCACTTCTAGGATTGCTACGGCCCCGTCACTTAGAACAAAAAACAGGAGGTCACTGGGTATTGCCCTCTTACCAAATTTCTCAAGAAGAGAAGCTGATTGGCCCAGCCACACTCTACTGTCCGTCTTGGCCCGGAAGCTGATCACACTGCACACACGGCTGTGGGAGTTGACTTGGGAGATTTCTGGGGGTTGGAATAAAAGAGGAATTTTCTAAGGGCATACGGCAGGGCATGGCCTTAGATACCAGAGATGCCATTTCACTCTGCAAAATAGTAGAAACAGTAAATTAATAAATGTCAGAGTAATTTTTAACCACCAGGGTTGAAATCTAGAAGAAATTTTGCATATTCCACAGTGAAGCCAAAGGTTCCATTTACTCAGACTTGTTTTATCCTGTATCCTAGTTGTAGAAGACAGAAATAAATGGCTGCTTGCAAAAAAACAAAACAAAACAAACAACCAAACAAACAAACAAAAAAAAACCACAAACCGGCATCACTCTCCTTTACTAGTTGACAACATTCACACTTGGGTGTCCTTTCCTTCTCCATTTCAGTCATAGAAAGAGCATCTCATCACACAAGGTTTAGATGTGAATTACTCAGGGCTGAGGATGTGGCTTGGGGGTAGAGCACTTACCTAGCATGTACAAGCCCATAGGTTCAACCCCCTGAATAGGAAGAAAAAAGAATGAGTTATTTCAGTGTTTGCTGTGTGACCTTGTTTGCCTTTCTATAGTGATTTCTGTAGACACAGGCACATGACTCACTTCTGATCATGATGGGGATCAGTCTGCTGAGAGGTTCTCTGCAAATAGATTTTCCTTCCTAATGAGAAGATGCTCCCAGGACGGTTCTGAGTTCCAGGCTCCTTTTCAGCTGGAAGTGATGTCGGATGTCATCACCACTAAGGAGCTTTGGATGAGGACCCAGTAGCAGAAAGGACCTGAGCTCTTGGCAGCATCGTCTGACTGTTAAGTCCAATGTCCTTATTGTTTAAAGTCCCTGGGTTGATTTGCAACTTTTAGACACTTGCATCCCCAAACTGACCACTTGCACCCTCGCAGACATTCCTCCTACCAACACAAACCATCAAGCCGCAAAGAAGACAGGTTTTGACGATAGCTGACTTACTAGCAGGAAAACTAATCCTGCAGATGCCAACAGAAGATGTCCCGGAGGCAATGACAGTGCTGGTAGTCAAAAGGTCATAGATAACTTCTAAGGCTCCCCCCTCGCTACCTCCCACCACCAACCTTATCAATACAGAGCATTTTGCAAGCCTAGGAACAGTATACTTTATGTTTATCAAAGGCACCTCAAAGAATGATTCTTCGGGTAGCCTCTGTATGCTTCAAAGTCTTTGCTTCTCTTGATGGGGGTTGGATGAGTTTATCGTGACTGCATTGCTTCTCTTGATGGGGGTTGGATGAGTTTATCGTGACTGCATTGTGTGTCTTGCTAGCTTGAGTTTAATAGGAAGTGCTCTCCTGACAGCCTTGTCCCTGCAGTGGGTGCTGGGGATGTTTTGATGTGGGCTGCATTCGGACAGCCTAATACTCGGGGAAAATGTACTGAAATTGAACAAGATTGCTTTCTGCCCAGCTGCTCTCCAAAGGCTAGACATTTTTAGCACTGAGCAAAGAAGCTTGTATTTGTTTTGACAGTCCTGGCAGGGAGAACAATGGTTGATTATCCCAGCACTTTACTAACAAATAAGACTGCCTCCAGCAGAGATAAAATATGGGTCTTGACTTGATTGCATTTCATGTCCAAGGGAGTTCTCTTCTATTCACTGGCGTGCCCTTTCATTATGCCGTCATCTTTTCTGCCCCTCACTCTTGCCCCTCGAAGCAACCCGTGGCTTTCTTTCTGAAAAGACCCCTTCTGCAGTCACTGTGGCCACGGTGCTTTGATTATCTTATAAAACACGCATTTTCACCTTCCCAGTTTGATTTCTTGGGAACTCAATTTTTGTTTTGCTTTTGGATCCACAGACCGTGAGGCTGGTTTCCTTGCTGATTTTGTGTCTGTTTACTTTTGGTACTGGCTTAGTTGTCCTCACTGTTGCCCCATAGAGGAGCTTTGGGATTTTCCATCATACCCAA